AGGGAGAGGGAGAGGGAGAAGAGAGAGAGAGAGAGAGAGAGAGAGAGAGAGAGAATGAATGAATATGCATCATGAAGCAGCAGTGCCAGAGAGGACAAAAATACTGAGTATACTATTACAGCTTGTTGTAACAGTCTATACAGCAAGGCATGGGAGAACTTTGAGAAAGGATGAGTCATAAATAGTTCTCCATTGTTATTGTATAATTACCATCATTTACTGAGTGCTAACTGTGCCCCTTGGCATTTTTGCACTTCATTTAGTCTTTACAGTACTTCATAGGAGGGCTGATATTCTCTTTCAAAAGGCTTAGAAGAGTTGAAAAAAATAAACCACTAAAATTGTACTAGTTGAAAAGGAAAATTCTTCCTGATCTTTAAAAATGGTACCACCGTCTCATAGTGTCCCCAGTATTGTGCAAGGATCCAGTTTCTCCACATCCTCATCAGTGCTTAGAAAAACTCTCTGCTGAAGTGCCAGCTGGTGGTGTGGGAGTGCAGCCTGAGGCTCCAGGAGGTTTTGCTCTATGTGGGTGTGAGTGACACCTCCCAGTGACAGTGTGTGCACATGTGCATGTGTGTTAGGAAGGATCTGGCAAGGCCAGGAAGTTCTGTGTGGTGCGGGTTTGACTGTCTGCACAGACCTGCAGGCTCAGACTGATGTCCCTAGATTCCTGTGCCTAGCATCATATCAGATCATCTTGCTATGGGCTTGCCTCTCATAGGCCCTGGGAGGACTGTTCAGGCTCTGCTCCTTCTCAGATTGTGGCTCTGCACAAGAGGGCCCCACAGAGTTCTCAGACAAGAGGAAGGTGGCCCTCAGTGGACATGTGAGGGGTCTCTGCCAGGCTGTACCTCAAGACCCAAGAGTGTGAAACAGCTGTGTGTACCCTTGGACAAGACAGCCAGAGTGAGAGCTAAGTGAAAGCCAAAAGGACATAAATGGGGAATAAGAGAAAGAGAAGAAATATGAAGAGAAAGAGAAAAGACTGTTTTAGGAGCTAATGTGTCAGGATACCACCAGAGGTGTGCTTCATGCCCAGGAAGCTTGACCAGACCAGAAAGCTCTCTACTGAGTAATATATAGTAGTCTTGCTTCTGAGCTGAGGCATTGCAGGCAGTATTTGTTGGCATTGCCCGGTAGGATGGCATGTGCAGCACAAAGTGCCTGTGTTTTGTGTTTGGAATCAAGACTCAGATGAAGCTGTGCAGTGCAGCAGGGACAAGCATTGCCTGCCAGTAACTACTTGGACGCATTGTTGGATTTTGAATTAAATTTTGGACATTGCATGTTCAGAAAACTTCGACTGTTGCTACATTCTTTACACGCCCTACATAAATAACCTAAAGATGATTTAAAGTATATGAGTGAGTGTGTGTAGTTCTGTGCAAATAATACTAGATTTTATATAAACAGCTTGAGCAGCTGCAGAGTTGGGATCCTGGAACCACTCCTTTGTGGACAAAGGGACAACTATATACATAAAACAAAAATACATACATATATCCAGAAATACCTAATTTTTAACACATCATTTTTTAGTTTTAGTCTCTTCTTGGAACCTTTAGAGAAGTAATATTTAAGGAGAAATACAACAGGTTCAAAGCCTAAGCTCTAAATAATTCTAATCCTATTTCTGTACTAATTTATATTACATTTGTTTATTTATTTTGTTTGTGTGCACATGTGCCACAGTATTTGTGGAGGTCAGAGAACAACTTTAGGGAATTGATTTTCTCATTCCACAATGTGAGCTCTGGGGCTTGAACTCAAGTCATCAGGCTTGGCAGAAAGCACCTTTCCCCTCTGAGCCATCTTCTTACCCTCTAGGAATATAACTTTAAAAAAATGTTTATTGAATTTTTGTATATTTCATATAAAGTCATCTTTATACCCCCTTCCCCTTTGGCACCCTGCCATAGCTTCCCCACTGGGTTCATACCTTCTGTCATTTGTGTTAAGGCCTATCATGTAAAGTTAGTGTCCCCAGATGTCCCTCAGTATAAATTCATCCACTGGGATCTAGTCAGTCTAGAGTCCCTTCCTTTAAGAAGATCAGCTCATTCTCACCCAGTAGTAATCAGATGCCAGTAATTCTTCAACTAAGATTGGGGCCTGCTGTTCATTTTCACAGTTCTGTGCTGGGTTTTTGTCTGCTCAAGTTTGCATGGGTCTTGTGTATGCTGACACCTTTAGTGTAGGTTTATATGAGAGGAATCCCAGAAGCCTGTAGGACTGTTTCCATATGGCCATGCATCTCCTCCCTGGCTCTTAACAATCTTTCTGCCCCCTTTTCTGCAATGATCCCTGAGCCCTGGGTGGGTGGATTTTAATATAGGAATCTTGTCCAAAGACTCACACTCTCCAGACGCTTAGTCTCTGCATTTTGGCCAATTGTGAGATGGCCTCATCTTCTGTTGCATGAGGGAGCTTCATTGATGAGAATTGAAAGATGCATTAGTGTTCTCTTCATCCCTTGTTCTGTGTTCCATGAGCCTTAGGTATGGAGGTTGCATCCTAAATGTGCCACTTAGGCTTGGGCAATTCAGAGCCTGTGTGTGACCAGTTGTGGAACTCTGTAACTATCTCTGTCTCTTGAAAAAGAAGCTTCTTTGATGGGTGGTGACTGGGATACTTGTCTATAGATTTAAGGATCCATATTACATTTGTCTAGGGATGTGACAGCCTTGGAGTTTTCTCTAAGATCTATGACCTTGCCAGCTATGTGTATATGGCTAGGTTTATAGTACCACACGAGTTTCCTCCCATTAAGTGGACCTTAAGACCAATTAGGTAGCTGTTGATTACCCCCAAGATAAAAGTGCCACTACTGCACCAGTGTCATTTGCTGTGCTGGTCACTGATGTGGTTTTTAGGTCTTGAAGCTAAGGTTGGACCATCGATTGGTGTTCTCCCTTAGCAGCTTGCATGGCACTCTCCAAAGCTATGAGAGATAGCCTCAGGGGAGGTAACTTCCAGGTCAGTTTCAGCTCCTTTGCTCCAAATCCTGTGTCCAAAGTATGACCTCTCTTCAGCAATAGGGTCTTACTATCAAGTTCTGGGAGATAATCAAAGACTGTGGCAATAACCTGTGTAATTTTGGGAGTCTCTTGGACTACCCTTGCTAACAACTCTCTAGGAATATATCTTAATAGCTCTTTTTTTTTCTTTTTTTTTTTTTTTAAGCCCCAGCTGGCCTGGAATTCGCTGTCCAGACTAGGCTGGCCTTGATCTCACAGAGATCTGCCTGCCTCTGCCTCCCAAGTGCTGGGATTAAAGGAGTGTGCTACCAACACGTCTGGCTCTTAATAGATCTTTTAAAATAAGGGAACATATCATAAAGATTGATTGATTGATTGATTGATTGACAGTGGTACTGGGGGTCAATCCCAGGGACTAATACATGTAAAGCAAGCATTTTATTGACTGTGTTCCATCTCCAGCCCCCAAAGTTATGCTTTTAGGACTTACAATCTTAAGTACATTTACAGTATTGTATAGTCATCCCTATCTAATTACTGAATGTTTTTGTCATCACTCAAATATATCTTATACCTGATAGCCCTTGCTCTACTTCTTCCTTTCCTAGTCACTGTTAGCTGATAATCTATTGTCTGTCTCTATCGATTTTCCTATTCTGGACATTTTATAAAAATGTAATCATACAACGAAGGGAGCTTGGGTCTAGTTTCTTTCGCTTAACACAGTTTCAAGGGTCATCCATGTTACAGCATGAATTAAGACTCATTCTTACTATGACTGATATTCCATTTTGTGTGTATGTCTGTGTACACATTGTACACCATCTTTTGTTTATCTGTTCATCACTTGATGGGCTTTTGGTCTGTTTCAACATTTGGCTAGTGTGAGAACACATGTATATATACAAATTTTTGTGTGAACATTGCTTTTTAGTTCTCTTAGCTATATACCTAGGACTGAAATTGCTGTTCATACAATAAGTTCTGTTTAACTTTATAATTAATTGATTATTTTTAAAATTTATTTATTTTTATGTTATACCTGCATGTGTGTAAGTGCACCCATATTTTGCATGCATTGCCTTGGAAGGACAGAAGAGAAGGTTGGATCCCCTGGAACTGGAGTTTTGAATGGTTGTTAGTCACCATGTGTGTTCTGGGATTCGAATCCAGGTCTTCTGCAAGACTAGCCAAGTGCTTTTAACCGCCGGCTGAGCTATCTCTCTAGCCCCCTCATTATTTTTATTTTGTATGTATGAGTGGTCTGCTTGGTTATAAGTGCACAACATTCGAGCGGTGCGGTGCCTATGGAAGCCAGAAGAGGCTGTCAGATCCCCTGGAACTAGAGTTATAGATGGTCGTTAGGTGCTGTGTGGATGCTGGGACTTAAACCTGGGTCTCTACAAGAGCAGCCAGTGCTCTTAACCACTGAGCAATCTCTCCAACTCTCTGTTTAAATTTTTGATAGCTACCAAACTGTTTTCCAGATTTTATGATGGTTGTACTACTTCACATTTTACTCTTTTTACATTTTGTTTCTTATCTATAACAAGGTACAGTAGCCGTTTTGTAGAGAGGAAAATATGGGCTAGAACCTGCAGAAGGTGTTGTCAAAATGTTTTTTACTGTCCAATTCTAAATATCACGTGTAATATTTTCCCTAGAAATTCTAGGGAAGTAGTTCAGATAGTCAATAAAAATTAAAAATTAAAATGAATCAAAAGTGAGGAAACTGGAGAGATGGCTCTGTGGTTGAGAGCACTGGATGCTTTTGCAGAGGACTCAGGTTCAATTCCCAGTACCCACATAGTAACTAACAGCTGTCTGTAACTTCAGTTCCAGGGGAATTTGACACACTCTCCTGACCTCCACAGGCATTGCATGGCATGGTTACACTTACATACATACAGGCAATACACATAAATGAAAATAAAAAATTTTTTAATGACTCAAGATTGAGAACTCTTGCCAGCTTTTTTTTTTTAAACCTGATTTGACAATGCTCTTTATGTTTTACAGAGAAGCTGGCCGAGGCTCAGCGCAGGTTTGCTACACTTCAGAATGAACTTCAGTCATCACTGGATGCACAGAAAGAAAGCAGTGGTGTTACTACACTGCGACAACGCAGAAAGCCAGTCTTCCACCTGTCCCATGAAGAGCGTGTTCAACATAGGAATATTAAAGACCTTAAATTGGCCTTCAGCGAGTTCTACCTCAGTCTTATTCTGCTGCAGAACTATCAGGTGCTTAGAGCCTTACCCTAGAGAACAGCATTTCTTAAGTAATGATAAATTACAGTAAGTAGAAGTACCTTGAGCTACACTGTGTCAATCCAAAAAGGAGGAAATCATCTTTATTCTTCTTTATTCTTGTGGTTCTTACTGGGATTTTAGATGTCCTTATTGACCAAAACTTGTGTATCAGAAAGATGCAGAGACAAGGAATCACCAGAGAACTGGTAAGCCAGACTACACAAACAGTGAGCTCCAGATTGAGCAGGAGACCCTGCCTCAATAATATCAGGTGGATCAGCAAGAAGCGTTATTTTGAAATGAATTCTCAACTTTTTTACTAATGGACTTTTGTGTCTGTATTTAGCAAATACAGACAACCTCTGGTTTATAGATCTATTATGCCTTGGAAATCCATGTTTTCCTACATTTTCAGATGAATGATATGCAAACAACAAGTGAATGTGAGAATGTAGAAAAGTGTAGTATTTTGATGTAGAAATTGAGGATTGACCCTGTGTGTTTGCTCATTCTTTCCTTTATGCTGACTCCGTCGTAAGTCCATCCCCAAGCTGAGATGACTGGAAGGAAAATGAAAGTTAGGAGAACTAGATCAGTGTCTTTGTTCTTAACAGGTTTGTGCATACCTGGTGGGAGAGAAAATTTACTTCTATACCAGTCCCTCCAAAGCAAAGAACTAAATAAATGTATTCAGGTGCACGGTAAATGCAAAACCTTTTCTGAAAATAGTCTTTTGCCCAAAGCAGCAACATGACCTATTTTTAAAATGGTTATACATAGAAAAATAGAAATGAAAATGTTCTGAACTTGGGGTGTTCATTAACTTACTTGGAAAAGAAACACTAGAGTTGTGTTACTAATGGAATTCTACTTTGAAATGAGTACGTGATGCAGCACAGCAGTCTTATTTTAGTAATGAATGTATTCTTAGTCTTCGCTTATTCAGCTCTGTCAGTGTTTAGTGCTTATTATTATCACTTTTTTTTTTTTTTTTTTTTTGTTTTTTTTGGACAAAGTCTCCCCTGAGCCCCAGCTGTCCTGGAACTCACTGTGTAGACCAGGCTGGCCCTGAACTTACGGAGATCCGCCCACCTCTGCCTCCCGAGTGCTGGGATTAAAGGCATGCGCCACCATGCCCGCCATGCTTATTATTTTTAATCTTAATTAACGATAGTAGAAATGATCATTATATTTCTCTTTTTTCGTATAGAATCTGAATTTTACAGGGTTTCGAAAAATCCTTAAAAAGCATGACAAGATCCTGGAAACATCTCGTGGAGCAGATTGGCGAGTGGCTCATGTAGAAGTGGCCCCATTTTATACATGCAAGAAAATCAACCAACTCATCTCTGAAACTGAGGTATAGTAACTCTACCTATTTACCTATGTATTCAGTATCACTTGTGCCCCATTTTAAAGAACTTAGGATTTCTGTTCTCCTTTTGTATCTAGATGCTGGCTTTGAATACTTGTACGCTTATTTGAGATTGTTTTCTTTGGCTTTATCAGTGTATGTTTGCTAAGAGGCTATCAGAATATAATATATAATTGATATAGAATTATTTATCACTTGTTCAGAATAACTTATATCGAATCTTAATACCTTGCCTTTCTAGGCTGTAGTAACTAATGAACTTGAAGATGGTGACAGACAAAAGGCTATGAAGCGATTACGTGTACCCCCTTTGGGAGCTGCTCAGGTTAGTATTTGCTTCCAGTGACTTGTTTGCTTTTTCATATTTAGTAATTAACACAGTATTGTTGTTGGCTAGCTTCATTACCTTCCAATTTATTTAACCAAATATTGTAAGTAGTTGCTACTATTGTTTTTCTGGTTTTAAAAAAATTCAGTGCCAAGATCCAGGCATGGTATCACATGCTACATTCCCAGTACTTGGGTGACTAAGGCAGGATGATCACTAGTTCAAAGCCAGCCTGGGTTATATAGTATAGCCCTGTCTCAAGAAAAGGTAAGAATGATGCTGGAGAGATGGGCCAGGTTAAGAGCACTTGCTACTCTGACAAAGGACCCAAGTTGAATTCCCAGCACCTACATTGAGCAGCTCACAACTACCTATAGCTCAAGCTCCAAGGGTTCTGACTCCTCCTTCTGGTCTCTGCAGGCACTCCTGTGCACAGACCCACACTCAGGTGCACACACACACACACGCACACACACAGAATTAAAAATAATAAAAATCTTTTTTGAAATAAAATGGGTAAGAGAAAGGAAGGGGAAAAGAAAGGAAAAAAGAAAAAATGAGATGCAAGCTTTCATTTTTTATGAACTGTCTTTGTGCCTATCAGTGTTTTCTCTCAACTCTGCCCTGTATTTATTCTTAGACATTCTAACTTCTTGGTCCAATCAACTGACTAAGATGAGTTTTTTTTGTTATTCATGACATGGGAGGTTAGGATGTGTGAACTACTGGGCTACTTACATAGCTTTGTCTAAAGCATAGCAGTTATACCAAAAAAGGGCAGGGGATTTAGTAAATGCTATCTGTATAGCATTTAAGTGATATATTCTGTCTCATAAAACAAGTCTGAATAAATTTAAAAGGATTTAAATCAGGGCTAGAGTGACTCAGCGGTTAACAATGTTTACTATTCTTGTAGAGGACCTAAGTTCAGTTCCCAGCATCCATGTTAGGTGTCTCACAACCATCTGTAAATCCAACTCCAGTGGGCACCAGCAGCCATGCTAGGCGCGCGCGCACACACACACACACACACACACACACACACACACACACGGGCACGCACAAGCACGCACACGCACACAGTTAAAAATAATAAATCTGGGCATGGTGGTGTATGCCTTTAATCCCAGCACTCAGGAGGCAGAGGCAGGCAGATCTCTGTGAGATCAAGACCAGCCTAGTCAGCATAGTGAGTTCTAAGCCAGCTGCGGCTACAGGGAAACTCTGTCTCAAAAAGACCAACAATGGGGATGGAGAGATGGCTTAGCAGTTAAGAGAACTGGCTGTTCTTGAAGAGGGTCCGGTTTGGTTCCCAGCACCAATATGGCAGCTAACAACCATCTATGACTCCAGTTCTAGGGGATCCAGTGCCTTCTTCTGACCTCTGTGGGCATTTTCACAATATGGGTACACTTACATACATGCAGGCAGTGTACTGATACACAAAATAAAAAAAATATATAAAATTTTTGAAAAGGAAAAAAAAAAACCCAAAGACACAATTTAAATCATACAAAGTATTTAAGTATATAAAATAATAAAATATTTGAAAAAAAAGCAAATACACAATTTAAATCATACCAAGTATTTTCTGCAACCACAATGGAATTGAAATTAATAACAAAAATTTGTACAACCTAATAAAAGTATATATGAGAAAAACTGTAGTTAATGTCACACTTAATAGTGAAACATTAAGGGTTTTCTTTACAAGACTAGGAAAAAATTATATGATTATTATTATTGCTGCCATTGAGCATTTTATTGGTGATTATAGCCAGTGTGATATGGTCAGAAAAAGATATAGAAGGCATTCAGATTAGAAAGGAAAAAGTAAAAGTGATCTGGTATATTTACCAGTGACTTAATGATCTATGTAGAAAATCCAAAGAATCTATGTTACTACTATAGCTAATCAGGGAGGGTGTTTTTGTCTTTTTGAGACAGATTCTCCCTGTAACTGCATCTGACCTGGAGCTCACCATGTAGACCAGGTTGGCCTTGAACTCAAGGGTATCTACCTCCTCTACCTCTGAATTGCTGGGATTAAAGGCATGCACCAATACACCCAGCTGTAATCAGGGAGTTAAATAATGGTTGGAGAATACAATACCAGCTTACAAAAAATCAGTTGTATGTTTGTATTTCATCAAGTACAGTTAAAAAAAATAAAAAATAAAAAAATAAAATAAAAAACTTTTCTAATAATGCTATTTATAAGAAAATAAAGAGTAAGAAATATAATACTTAGTAATGTTTGGTTCTGACAAAAGACATTAAAGACCTTTACATTAAAAACTACACAATATTTCTGAAATAAAAATCACTTAAATGAGAGGCATATCACATTTATGGGTGTTTTAGGTAAACTCAGTATTTTTAAGATGTTATTTCTTAATTCGATTTATACATATAACATAATCTACCTTTAAAAAATCTCAGTAGGGTTTGTGTTTGTGTGTGTGTGTGTGTGTAATGTAGATATGCATAGGAGTACAGTACAACTAAAAAGATTAGCAGTACCTTGTTAAAAAAAAAACACTATTAAAGCTACAATAGTCAAGACAGAATCAAGCTAGGCAGATACTTCTGTAGAACAGAAGAGAATCTAAAAATAGACTAATGTATATGTACAACTAATAATTCTGTTTTCAGCAAATGGCCCTGGAACAATTGGCTTATTTATACAAGAATGAAAAAGACGAACTTTTATTCATATTTTATACTATGTGTTTCTAAGTGTACCATAGACCTAAATTAAACTTAAAACTACAAATATCTAAAAGAAAATATAGGAGAAAGTTCTAGCAATGTTGGGTGACTCAAAGACTATCTAGAAATGTCACCAAAAATACTTGATCAAAGTTAAAAACTAATCTTCAAAAGACCTTGTTAAAGAGAATGAAAGGGGGCTGAAGAGATGGCTGATTGCTCTTGCAGAGGACCTGAGTTCAGTTCCCAACACCTACGTGGTAGCTAACAGCCTTCTGTAGCTCCAGTTTCAGAGGATCTGATGCCCTCTTCTGACCTCCACGGGCATTGCATGACATGGGTGCACTTATGTACATACAAAAACATTCATGTACATAAAAAATGTAAATAAATAAAATATTTAAAAGAAAAGAGACAATGAGGAATATTGAACTTGGAGAAAATATTTATAAAACGTCAGATCATATAAAAAACTCTGATATTAATAGTGAGAAAACAACTTGAACTTCATCAAAGAAGTATGGGGAGAGAATTAGTATGTGGCAGGTTGCTCAACATTATTGGGCAGTAGAGACATGCAAAGCAGAATCACAAGACACTACCTGTTACAGGGACTAAAATTCAAAGGTTGGCCATACTAAATATTGGAGAACAGAATCTCTTATCTCCTGCCTGCTGGTGGAATATAAAGTGGTAGAACCATTTTGATAAATAGTTGGGAGTCTCCTAAAAAGTTGAGCCTACATCTACCATATGACTAGCTATTATATTACTTACCCAAGAGAAATGCAAACCTGTGTCCATATAGAGACTTTTGCAGATGTTTATAGCAACTTTATTCATAATAGCCGAAAACTAGAAAACCCAAATGTCCATCAGTAAGTAAATGCATAAAGAATTTGTGGCATGTCTGAACAATGCACTACTACCCAACAATAAAAAGAAATAACTTGATATATGTAACACCGTAAGTGAATCTCAACAGAGAAAGAAGGCAGGTTTTTTTTAAAGGGCATACTATGTGACTCCATTTTCTTAAGACTCTGGAAAATATAAACCAGTAAATAATGACAGAAAGCAAATTATTGGTTGCTAGTTGTGTAGGTTTAGATCAGGAAAGAAGTACAGCTAAAGAGCATGAGGAAGCTCTTAGGGGTTGTGAATATATTAGAGTTTTTGGTTTACTTTTCTTTGTTTTTTTGAGGCAGGGTCTCATGTAGCTCAGGCTGACCTCAAACTCATTATGTAGCTCAAACTCATTACATAACTAGCCTTAAACTCCTGAGAGCTGGGAATATAGGCATTTGCCACCGTGTAGCTCAATGTTGTCTTAATTGTGATGATTTCATAGATATTTGTGGATATTAAATCTCATAAATCTTACCAGATTGTACTCTTTAAATCTAGTGTGTGCGATGCATTGTATGCCAATTTATTCATTAAAACAGTACCAAAAAACCCATTGACACTTCATAGTCAAACTGACTGAAAAGATGAAGAGAAAAACTAAAAACATCCAGAGAACAAACATGAAAATTGTGTACTTTAAATATATGCAGCTTATATAATTTATATTATAATAAAACCATTTAGAATGAGAAAATTAATATTAAATACTAAAGTGTTTAAGGGTGTGTTCCAAGGAGGTAATTTAATACTAAAGTAAACATAGAAATGGTTATCCCATGAGGAGGGATAGAGACTTCAAAGTAGGACATATTTTGCTCCTAAAGATAGATGGTAGTTACTGTACATTTTTAAAAAATATTTCATTTATTTTTATTTTATGCATATGCGTGTATTGCCTGCATGTAGGTAAGTGCACCCATGTTGTACATTTCCTACAGAGGACAGAAGAGGCTGTTGGATCCCCTGGAACTGGAGTTAGGACGGTTGTTAGCTGCCATGTGGGTGCTGGGATTCAAACTCAGGTCTTCTGCAAGAATAACCAGTGTTCTTAACTGCTGAGCCATCTCCCCAGCCCCTACTATACATTTTTAACATTCTAAAAGCATTGCATACATTATTTTATATCTAGGCTGTATTGTGTAATTTTTTAAACTAAAATAGAAAAAAAAAAGGCAAATGAGCATCTTCCTTCTAAACACCTTCATTCTGAAACTGACAGTACAGGTATCTACTATTGACAAGTAGTAAATCAGAGTTTCAGTGCTTTTAGAGAACATTTAGTGTATATCAAGTCTAATATTTCACCCCTAACAACACTAAAAAGTCCATGATTATTTCTCTATTTCGCATCCCTTTCTATGTAAGATCTCAAGAACTTTCTGTTCCCATTAGAAGAATGTAATTTTGAGGCCAGCTATAGATTCAAAATCAAATTATAATAAAGAATATTATTGAGCCTACTCTGGAGATTCAAATATGCCCATCTGCTAAGAAACTCTAGCTTAAAATTTTCATTTAAGAGGCTGGAGAAATGGCTCAGTGTCAAAGAGTGTTTACTGCTCTTGCAGAGGACCTGAATGTGGTTCCCAGCCCCCACATCAGGTGGCTCACAACTGCCTTTAACTCCAGTTCCAAGAAGGTCCAATGCCTTCTGGCTTCTGTGGGTACCTGCATATGCATATGGTGCACATAAACTCATACACTCATACACATATACACATAAGTAAAAGAATAAATAAATCTTTAAATAGTTTCATTTAAATTATCTCATTATAAAGGTATTAGTATTGTCAGAAAATAAGTATTCTTATCTTTCATTGTTACTAATTATTTGTAGTACCAAATCATAAATTCTAATCAAGCAATTTTGACAAAATTTAGAGATACATTTTGTAAAAATGAAGTTGCATATTAAATCTCTCCTTAAAAAACTTTACTATAGGAGTTGGAGAAATAGCTCTGACTGATCTTGCAGAGGACCCCAGGTTCAATTCCCAGCACCCACATGGCAGCTAACAACTGTGTAGCTCCAGTTCCAGGGGATCCAACACCTTCTTCTGACCTCCACAGGCACTGCACAACATGGATGCGCTTACACACATGCAGGCAATACATTCATACGCATAAAATAAAAGTAATAATATAAATACTAAAAAACCCACAAAACTTTAGTGTATTAATTTGAAGCCTAAAATGATAATCATAGGTCACAGCTCAGATGTGTGTACATATGGTGGTCAGAGGTGGATGCTGGGTATCTTCCTTAGTCACTTTCTACCCTATTTTTGGAGACTGGGTCTCTCATTGAACCACCAGCTTACCAATTGAGCTAGGCTTGCTGTCCATCAAGTTCCAGGGATCTGTCTTTACCCATGTTGTGTTTAGATTACAGGCATTCACTGTGCCCGGCTTTTATATGGGATCTGCCTGGCTTTGCCTGCCTGCTACTGGGATTACTGATGTGTACTACTATGTGCTGTTTTCTGTATGGGTGCTGGGGATACACACTCAGGTCCTTATGTCTACAAGAGGCACTTTACTGGCTGAGCTATCTCCCCAGCCCCATGATTCAGATTTTGATAAAAAACTAACTAGGGTCTCTATTCTGTGTATAGGGTGATAGAGGATAGATGATCCTCTGCTTCAGATTTTTTAAAGTTTAGATTATAAAACAATATTTTCCTTTTTAAAAAAATTTTTAATTTTATTTTTTTATTTTATGTGTATGAGTGTATTGCCTGCATGTAAGTAAGTGCACCTGTGTCATGCAGTACCCACGGAGGTCAGATGAGGCTGTCGGATCCCCTGGAACTGGAGTTACGGACAGTTGTTAGCTGCCATGTGGGTGCTGGAATTCGAACCCAGGTCTTCTGCAAGAAAAACCAGTGTTCTTAACCACTGAGCTATCTCTCCAGCCCCAACAATATTTTTCTTATAGACCTTTAAGTCTCAACGAAGTGACTTATTATGGCATACATTAATGTGTATGATGTCTTTTTTCTTTCCACAGCCTGCACCAGCATGGACTACTTTTAGAGTTGGCCTATTCTGTGGAATATTCATTGTACTGAATGTTACCCTTGTGTTTGCAGGTAATTCTGAAATTGTGAATTAATTTTTTCTGATTAATATGTCTGTGTAATAACCTGCTCTTACGTGAAGAGTCAATTATGCATTTACCAGTATTAACAAATTTGTCAGGGCTAACTTTTTTATTTTTATAAATTTTGTAGGATTTTTGGACATTTGTTTATTTTTCCTTTTAGGTATAAGCTTAGGTCAGGGAAATGGCTCAGTGGGTAAAGGTGCTTGCTGCCAAGCCTGACGACTTGAGTTTGATCACCAGGTCTCATATGCTGGAAGGAGAGAACCAACTCCCAGAAATTGTCTTCTAACTTCTACATGCACTGTGTGGTAGATGTCTGTGAGTGTGTGTGTGTGTGTGTGTGTACAGTTTTTCAAATAAATAATTTTTTAAAAACAAAAATTTTTAAAGTAATAAATTTAAGAACTTAAACTTCCTTTATCATAGATGAAGATATCTTAAATATGTTACAAGCATTCATCTACAAAAGCTTATTTACTTTGCTTATTTTCACATCCTTTCCAGGACTCACTTGCAACTGCTTTGCCTGTAGTTGTAAAAGGGATGGCTTTGCAATTTTCTATTCAATGGAAGAAAAAATTGGGGGCTGGAGATGTAGACCAGTTGATAAAGAGTGCTTGTCTAGTATGCATGAGTTCTTGAGTTCAGGCTCAGCACTACATAATACCAGGCATGGTGGTACATGCCTGTAGTCTCAACATTTTGGGAAACACAAAGATCAGTAGTTCAAGGCCTTCCTCTGCCACATAGCATGTGTTTGAAGGCAACCTGTGCTCAATGAGATCCTTCCCCTAAAACCAAAACAGAACACATCCAGCAGAAGTTAAAAATGAGAAAGGATCACTCTAGGAACAACTATAGTCTCAACATCAAGAAATAGTGTAGTACTGAGGGAAAGATAACCCTATTATACCTCCCCCAAAGAATGTGTCATCCCCTTCCTTGATGACATCTCATGTTTATCACTAGTAGTTGAAATACTGCAAACATCGCACCTGCTTGTTTTCCTATTAAATTTCACTAGTATCTTCCCCAGTTTCTTTCATAAGCTATACTGTTTTTTTGTGACATTGAAATGTTGAGTAGGTCCAATAGATTCAGTCCTCAAATCTCTGTTGTCTGTATTCTTTTCCTATCTCGGCAAATTATTCAAGCCTATGGCTATAAATACCATCTCTATGCTAATGACTCACAAGTATGTATCCTCTCTAAATGATATCTACTTGACTGCTTGGGTATCTAAAAGGCATCTTACATTTAAAGAGAACCCTTAAATAGAGTAAAAGAACTCTTGATTTTTTTTTTAACCCTGCAAATAAAGTTTTCAAGTTTCCAAAACCTTTTAGCCCCTGTGTAGCCCTTGTGTTCTCTGAGATTATCTACTTAAAAAGCAGGAAGGTTTATTTTGGCCCATGGATACAAAGGTTTCAGTCCATGATCACTTGGCCCTGTCACTTAGGGCCTGTGGCAAAGCAGAACATCATGGTGGAAAGCAAAGTTGCTCACTATGTGGAGGTCAGAAAGTAAAGAGAGGGAAGGAATGTGTCCCAGTACAGTCTTCAAGGGCACTCCCCAGTGATCTACTTTGTCCAGCTAGGCCTGACCTCTTAAAAGTTTCCACATTCTAGTAACACTAGGAGCTGGGGATCAAGATAAGTGACACCTGAGCAAGACACTGGAGCTTCTTGCCAACATTTAGGGTTCAAACCATGATATCCCTCATACTTTATCGCTAAAACATGCAACAAATCCTGTTGCTCTGTCTTCAGACTAGCCTCTGAATCTGGCTACTTAACACCACATGCATCAGTTCCATCTTTTTCTCCACAGCCATTTCTTGTTTAATGTATGACAAGCCTTCTGAACTTGTCTCTTTGCATGCATCCACTGTTGCCTTCATATAATGACAAGCCTGTTGCGGGGAGGGTGCTGTCTCCTTTCCTTTTATGATTACCCTGCACTAACATAGTCTATTCTGTATCTTTCCATCTCTTTAGCCTTTATTAGTATGTTTCAGATGCTTATTATGTGACAATGTACCAGATACTTATGACTCACTAATGTGTACATAATGTTTGGACTTCATACCAAACATCTTGATGCCTGGGCTTTTGTCTCTCTTGTTCCTCAGTGTATCTGTAGTACTAGAACACTACATGAGGGTAAAAACATTAGAGAGATTTGAGTGGATGGAGAAAAAAAGGAGTTGAAATTAAATTATGTACAGAAAGCACACACAAACAGCCCCCCTCAATACACACACCCCTCAGGTTCCTGTAGTCATGTGTGTTTCATTTAAGGAATATAATCATGATACACCTCAAGAGTCTGTATGGTTATAGCTGTAAAGTTTAATAAAAGATTAAACTCTGCTCAGTGAAGTTTACAAAGATATGTAGTTCTTTCTTTAGGAAAACACTTTTACTCATTTATGAGTGAAATTTACTTCTTTAATTTCTAAGATGTATGTGATGGCCTTATCATCACTGTCATTAAATAAGACCTATTAGGAAAATAAATTTTGTTTTCATGTGAAGTAAATAAAACAGGTTTTTAATGTGTTCCTGCTCTAAATTTAGGACAAGCTGGAGTTTTAATAAATATAGACTACATTTTTTGCTGCAGTTTGTTTTTTTAAATGTGTTCAATTTGTACATTTAGCGTTGTGTTATGTTCTTACCTCAGAACCCTTCTTTGTTTGGTCTTTGTGTGTATTTCTGAAGGGAGAGTAGATGTAGTTGAAGCCAGCGATCTGTACTTATTCGTCTCCCAGTGGGTTTTTAGAGGATGACTGTGTTGAGTCAGAGAGAAGCACAGCAGTAGTAATGCATGTACAAGCACGATTCTTGTTTCCAAGCAGTCACATCAAAAATTACCTGCATAATTGCTGTGGTTTCTCAAGGGAACATACCCCATGTTCAATAATTTGCCGGAAAATCATATATTCCAGAATTTTAGTTTCATGAACATGAAAATTATCCTGTATATGTATCTTAAAACTTTTCTCTCTTACAGATTCCTAGTTGCCTTTGCTTAATTTGAAATAACATATTTTACTTACTAGTTTGACCATTTACGGTAGATGTAAGGTTGCAAATAAAATAGGCACTTGTAAAATAATGGTAAGACTATTGTGAAAATGTCTTGAGGATAATGTAGTATATGTAAACATTTTATGAACATTCTGATTTTGATTAACCATGTTTTTCTTTTGTGTGTGTGTGTATTTGTGTGTGTGTGTGTCTATGTCTGTGTCTGTGTGTTTTAATAGGGTCTCATGTAGTCTAGGCTGACCTCACACTATGTATCTGAGGATGACATTGAATTTCTGACCCTCCTGCTTCTACCTCCCAAGTGCTGGGACTATAGGCTTGTGTTATCCTAGTTTTATGCAGTACTGGGGATCAAATCCAGTTATGAAAGAAGATATTATCACCATTGACCAAGAAGGAAACTGAGAACTAGATAAGTGAAAGAATTGTCCCTTCTAGTATCTGATACTTGATATAAATGGTATTTGATCCCATAGAAAAAGCTTTCTCTACCATTATTTTCAAGTTATTAAGGTTTTCTTGTTGTTGTTGTTTTGTTTTTGTCTTTTTGAGACAGGGTCTCCCTGTAGCCCCAGCTGTCCTGGAACTCACTATGTAGACCAGGATGGCCTTGACCTCACAAAGATCCGCCTGCCTCTGCCTCCCAAGTGCTCGGATTAAAGGCATGTGCCACCACGCCCGGCAAGTTATTAAGTATTTTTTATACTGTGGAGAATGCAAATATAAATAGTCAATGGTTATAAGTATATAGACTGGTAAGAGAAAATTCAGAATCATTTTAATTACATGGAAAACTGAGAAAATTTGTTTAAAAAAAACAATAAGATTCATCAGTAACTGAGAATGTCTGGGAGTATTGTGAGATAAGTTTGGGGACACTGAGTTAGAGATTAGACTTTTAAGAACTTGGGTTTTCAAAACTAAGATGTTTGACCATTATCATTCTAGGAAAGTGTACAATAATGATGGCACTGAATGGTTGTGTGGGCATAGGAGCAGTGTGGACTTGACAGTGAGCTTGGACATAGGAACAGTGTGGACTTGACAGTGAGCTTGGACATGGGAGCAGTGTGGTCTTGACAGTGAGCTTGGGCATAGGAGTAGTGTAGCACTTGAGAGTGAGCTTGGAGCAAATTACATAGGTTTAAATCCTAGCTCTGCCCTGCATTATCTCAGTAATCCTGAGCAAGTTACCTAATCTATCTGTACTCTAATTTCCTCAGTCAACATGGACATAGTGGTTTGTAACGGACAGAACAATTGTGATGTTTAAATTAATTATTACATATAATAGCATGGAGAATAAAGAATGCTAAGTATCATAGTAACCATTCCACAGATACTGTCATTTACCTAACATTTAAATTCTCATTTTTTTGTGTGTTGTATCTATTTTTTAAAATATTTTATTTATTATTTTTATTTTTTTATGTGTATACATGTATTGCTTCCTTGTAGGTAAGTGCACCCATGTCGTGCAATGCCCACAGAGGACAGAAGAGGCTGTTGGATCCCCTGGAACTGGAATTATGGACAATTGTTAGCTGCCATGTGGGTGCTGGGATTCGAACCCGAATCTTCTGTAAGAACAGTCAGTGTTCTTAACCGTTGAGCCATCTCTCCAGCCCTTCTCTATTCATTTTTATAACAACTCTGTGAGGTCGAAGTTGCTGACACTAGCTAGTTTAATGGTAGAAAAGGAAAGCCAAAGAAGCTGTATCATACCAGAAACCCTCAATTGACAAAAGATCTTGAGATTCTAAGCCATTTCACCCTGTTGCACTACAGTCAAAGAAACTCAGGGAATAGTGGAATAACACGATTAAAAAAAAATCCTAGGAAAATTATTCTTATGGAATTCTGCAGAGCAAAATGAAGAAGGAAAGAATCTGGAGGAAAGTTTATCAGGCTCTTAAAATGACCCAAATAAAGATTTTTTAATTTAAATTTTTTTTTTTTAAACAGGGTCTGACCTGGAATTCGCTGTGTAGGCCAGACTGACCTCAAACTCACAGAGACCCACCTCATTCTGCCTCCCAAGTTCTGGGATTAAAGGCATGTGCCACAACGCTTGGTGGTAGAGGTTTTCTTTATGAAAACCTCCTATGTAAGCGCTATATCTCAGAAAATGGAGAGAAAAGACAAAGAGAATATTATTAATTTTTTAACTAACCAATAAATTTTCTTTCAGCTATATTTAAAATTGAAACAGATAGAAGCATATGGCCCTTGATAAGAATCTATCGGGGTGGCTTTCTTCTGATTGAGTTTCTTTTTCTACTGGGCATCAACACGTATGGTTGGAGACAAGCTGGAGTGAATCATGTGCTCATCTTTGAACTTAATCCAAGAAACAATTTGTCTCATCAACATCTCTTTGAGGTAAGGCAAGACACAGTCTCATGAATGTAGTTCGCATTAACTCAATGGGTACTAAAGTCCTTATACTTGAAGATTATTGATCATTTCTCTTATATTTGTTTATTAAAAGTATTTCCGTGTGATGATAAAAATAAAGGTAACTTTCTCTCTTTTTTGTCCTCCCTGTGCTTCGCAGATTGCTGGATTCCTGGGGATATTATGGTGCCTGAGCCTCCTAGCATGCTTCTTTGCTCCAATTAGTGTCATCCCTATATATGTATATCCAGTTGCCCTTTATGGATTTATGGTCTTCTTTCTTATCAACCCCACCAAAACTTTCTATTATAAATCCAGATTTTGGCTGCTTAAACTTCTGGTGAGTCTAGAAACTTGTATAGCATTTTTAGAGTAATATACTCATCATTGGCCTCTTCTAAGGTAAAACAAGACTGCTGAGCCACGCATTTCCAGAAACATGGTTCACACTGTGCCTGTGTGAGCGGTGCCAAGCTTCAGGAGTAGAAATGTATGTGAAGGGTACCAGATAGCTCTGAAAGTATACAGTGTGGCAGCTCTGGGAAAAGCACTTAGGCATATTTTTCCTCCTAAAAATGAAATATAAAGTGGCCAGATAGTGAATTAATTTTGCAAATTGTGATTATTTGTTATTTCATTATACAGATTATTTAATCAGTGTGTTAATTTAAAAGCTTCATTTCCTTCTAAAGAAAAGGAAAGCCAGACCTAGTGGCTGTCACCTCTGTAATTCCCAGGACTTGGGAGGTGAAGGCAGAGCAAGGAGTTGAGTTTATCTTCAACTACATAGCAATTTGAGGCCAGCCTGAATCTGTCTCAAAAATAGAGTAGTAATACTACTAGTACCACTTCTTTCTTCAGTTGATGTGAATAGCAAACCAAGCACTTTATTTTGGGAGTTGTGGGAATGTTTTTTTAAAACACCAACTTGAATTTGAGAAGCTAACTTTGATTTTTTAAAAACCATTTCTTATTTTATTGCTTATGATTTTGTTACAACAAAGGCTTCTTGAATAGCCCAGCCTGGCTTCAAACTCATGGTCCTCCTGCCTCATTCTCCCGAGTGTTGGGATTATAGGTAGTGTGCTTCAATGCCTGGTCTTTCTTTGCCTGTTTATTAATGATCTTAAAATCCTTCAGTTGCAACAATAGGATATAGAATTTCCTGCAGAATTATAGGTATGTTTTTTTGTGATCATGTAAATGTAGCTCTGGGAAAGATCTTCTCTTCACTCCTAAATGAGGCCAACTGTATTTTTGAAATTAATTAAAAATATTTTCATGTAGCTGTTTCTTAGATTATGGATTATAGCTAGAAGAAAAATCTGTGATTAAAATGATTGATTCCTATAGAAACTTTCAGAATTACCATAATTATTTTCTCTCCTCTTTTTTGTTACATAAATATACCTCCTTAGGAAATGTAGCTTTATTTCTTTTTGCTTTTTGTTTGCCTCTTGGGGATATGAATTTTTTGTTTTTAGCAATACTTTTTTACTTTTTTTTTTTTTTTTAACCTGAAGACATGCCACACATGGCAGCTCACTTCTGTAATGCTAACTGTGGAGGCAAAGGCAGGAGGATTGCCATGAATTCAAGGCCAGCTTGGCCTACAATAAAGTCCAGAGTCAGACCCTGTCTCAGTGCACATTTGTGCGTGTACGCACGTGTGTGCATACACACACACACACACGCCCAAAATTGAAACAAGCAAACAACAAAAACTGAAAAATAAAGGCAGCTCACTTCTGTAATGCTAACTGTGGAGGCAAAGGCAGGAGGATTGCCATGAATTCAAGGCCAGCTTGGCCTACAATAAAGTCCAGAGTCAGACCCTGTCTCAGTGCACATTTGTGCGTGTACGCACGTGTGTGCATACACACACACACACACGCCCAAAATTGAAACAAGCAAACAACAAAAACTGAAAAATAAAACGCAGCTTTCTTTCCTCTTAAAAAAAAAAAAAGAGAAGTGTTTGTAACAACTACAAAAATAAAATGGCCAAAGTTTCTTGACTTTCCCAAATTTTATTTGTATTTCTTATGAGAATGTCACCTTCCACCAAGATTTTTGGTACAAATTAAGATTCTTTCTCTTTCCCTCCCAGTTTCTTTGGTTTAAAAAAAAAAATCTCAGGGCTAGGGATATAGCTCAGTTGGTACAGTGCTTACTTAGGATGTACAGAGCCCTGAGTTTGAGTCCTCAGAACAGCATAAACTGGGTATGATGGCACCTACCTCTAGTCCCTGCATTCAGGAGGTAGAGGCAGGAGAATCATAAGTGTAAGGTCATCTTTGGCTACATAATGAGTTCCAAGCCAGCCTGGGATGTATGAGGCTTTGTCTCAAAAAATAAAATAATAAAAACCTTTAAATGTAGCACCACAAGGCCAAACTTTAGATTTGGCTTCTGAATATGAAATGTAAATGTACAAGAACATTTTGATCAGTTGTAAGTACGTTTTCACCTTTAATGTACTTTTTCATCACCCGGGAAACATATTTTACTGCTTGTTTGTTTGTTTACACAGTCTTACTATGTAGCTGAGCCTGGCCTGAAATTTAATATGTAGACCAACCTGGTTTTGAACTGGCAGTCTTCCTGCGTCAGGCTCCTGAGTGCTGTGGTTCTGGCCATGTACCACCACACCTGTACTGCTCTCTGAAAAGCAAGGGCATGCATTTTAGAGAGGGTTGTTTTGCTTTTGAAGATAGAAGAAAAAATTGAACCATTTTTTATCTCTTGATTATATCAAAAGTATCATCCTAGATTACCTATTAATGTAAAATTTCTACAAAGTGATTTGTACTGAGGTTTTAGAAGATCTGGAAAACTTAGGTTTTTTACTGTGATGCCACCATTGCAGTAACAGGATAATAGAGGTGTAAATATTGTGTGCTAAGTGTGGATTTCTCCAGTGCACCCTAGGCTTAATAGCAATCAAGATTTATTCATGGCTAGTTACTCAGATTAGTAGAATGATTCCTGTTGAGTAGACATTTATGTATGTGTCTGCTGTGTGTGTTAATAAATGCAGACTTAGTGACTGAGTACACTGGCAATGATATAAGAAAGATTAATAGGCTAGTAAAAAGTACTCTGCAGGCGGGCGTGGTGATGCACACCTTTAATCCCAGCACTTGGGAGGCAGAGACAGGCGGATCTCCGTGAGTTCAAGGCCAGTCTGGTCTACATAGTGAGTTCCAGGACAGCTGGGGCTACAGGGAGACCCTGACTCAAAAAGACCAAAAAAAAAAAAAAAAAAAAAAAAGGAAACTCTGCGAAGCAGGGAAGTATAGAAAGAAATATTGATGTTACTTTTGTAATACTTTGCTGAAACAAAAATACTATTAGTGCAGATGCCAGTATCACTTGACCTACTGACTTATTTTAACTTAAATTCTCTGAGAAAATTAGTCTTTATATTTATTTCTAGAGAATTAACAGAATGTTTTCACTCTAGTTAGTTTCTCTGAAATTGCTTTTTAAAGCCTTGTCCTAAAATAAAACTCTGTTTTCTTTTTTTTTCTTTTTTCCTCTTCAACTTTTATTGGGAAAACTACATGCTACTTGGTCATAATAGCAAAGACTACTTACTGTTTATGTTCATAGTTATATGGAAATCTTTGAAACTGATATATTCTACCTTTCTTTTCTCCCTCAAAAACTTAAAATTTTTTAAGATAATGTAAAACAAGGTGGGTCATGTCTTTAATCCCAGCACTCATGAGGCAAAGGCAAGCAGATCTCTTTGAGTTCAAAGCCAACCTGGTCTGCTTAGTGAGTTCCATGCCAGCTAGGGCTACATAATGAGACCCTGTCTCAATATAATAATAATAATAAATTTAAGATAATGACTTATAGTGATATTAATATTCTGTGTCAAGGTTAGCGGTTTATTTATACCAATTATATCTTATGTGCTCTCTCCTACATCTTTATTTGCCCAAATTAGAAATCCAATTAGAAAGCATAAACAAAACCTCATATTTTTCTAAACAAAAACATCACCTTATTCTTACAGTAATCTAAAATTTTAAAATTAGAGGTTTTAATTATATTATTTAGAAATCAGTTTTACCAGGGCTGGAGAAATGGGTCAGCAGTTAAGAACACTGGTTGTTCTTGCAGGTGACTCGGGTTCAAATCCCAGCATCCACACAGCAGCTAACAATTGTCTGTAACTCCAGTTCCAGTGGATCCGACGGCCTCTTCTTTCTTCCACGGGCATTGTACGACACGGGTACACTTACCTACATGCAGGCAATACACGCATACACATAAAATAAAAATAATTAAATATTTTAAAATATATATTATAAAAATATATGTTATAGAAATCAGTTTTACCAACATTTTCTTTGGTTCCATAGTAAAGTTTTTTATCCATGTCTCTTATAAGAACAGAGGGCTGGGGATACAGCTTAATGGTACAGCATTTGCCTCTCATGGATTCTAGGGATGAAACTCAGGCTTGGTGGCAAGTACCCTTAACTCAGTGAACCATCTTGCTGGCCCTATTTAATGATTTTAATAAGACCTGTGGTTGGAGCTGATACTAATCCCATTTTATAAATTTTAAGAGATGCTAACAGCTTGCCTAAGGTCTCACAGACAGGAAGATGGGAAATGAACCCAGATCATAACTGTATTCCTTTTAAATTTTTAATTTATTTTTATGTATATGAGTGTTTGGCTGCATATATGTCAGTGTACCACATGCATGCAAACCCTCGGAGGCCAGAAGAATGTCTCAGATACTCTGGAACTGGAGCTACAGGTAGATGCTGGGAACTGAACCCCAGTACTCTGGAAGAACAGCTAGTGCTCTTAACCACTGAGCCATCTCTCCAGCCCTCCTCTCTTTATTTCTTTTTTAAAGTTTTTATTTACTATTTTTATTTTGCATGTATGAGTATATTGCCTGTGTGTAAGCTAGTGCACCCATGTCCTCCAGTGCCCGAGGAAGACAGAAGAGGGTGTCAGATCCCTTGGAGCTGGAATTATAGACGGTTGTTAGTCGCCATGTGGGTGCTGGGATTCGAAACTGGGTCCTCTGCAAGAGCAGCCAGTGGTTTTAACCACTGAGCCATCTCTTCAGCCCTCCTCCATCTCTTTATTTCTTATTTCATGCATTTTGCTCTCCCTCTGTATTAGCTCAGCTTTGAGGATGGGGTTGGCAGATTATAAGAGTAATAGAAGTATGTCTCATGTCAGAAAGAATATGTTTCACCTGGGCTGCCAATTTTGCAAAAGTCCACTACTAGAGATTGGTTAGACTTTCTGATTCTTTGGCATTATATATGAAATTACCTTCTTTGTTCTTTGAAATATTTAAGTCTATTCTACACTCTAGAGTTTTTCAAACTAATACAAGTGCTGCTGACACCAGGACCTCTTTGTCGGTAGATAGCTTAAACCTTACTGTACCTCTACATTTTACCTGCTACCCTGAAGAGAAGTATGCTGGGTCCAGAGCTCATTGTTGCAAATGTTCTGACTTCTATCTCTGGCTTATTGGACTCACAGAAATATAAAGGAGTTATCAAGACAATGAGTCATAGAACCAAAAGATACCAGCTCTAGAAAGTAGTATCTCAAAACCTGTGCTGTTTTCTGGTTTAGCTTCCAAAGGTCCAAGACAGTGTCTGTTAGAGATGGCACCCAGGATTGCTTCATGATGTATCATTTGTCTCTCTGAAAGAGTAAAGAGAAATACGCATAGAAAGAGTAGAAAGAAGCAACCAGATCTGAGAGGAGAATTACCATAGATTATGATGTTGAATTCGTCTACCATGAATATAGCCATATGTCCAGAGAACTAGAAGAAATTTAGGCACATTTTCTCAAAATGGCTGCTCAGTCAGATTTCCTGCTTGGAGAAAGGACACATTATCATTAATATCTTATACATTTTCTTCTATATAGTAACCAAGGAAATCTGACAGGAAGAAAATAAAAGCTATCTTCATCTTCACACAGGCTTATCAAGGCAATCTGCGTAGCTTTTTATTTCTGGTGACTGTATTAGTCAGTGATTCTTGTCTGCCATGCTAGGATTTCCCTTTGTAGTGATACAGGTTTCTACAGAATAAATCAAAGATAAGTTTGTGGTGAATGAGAGTATCAGTAGTACCTGGCTTTAGAATTGTTGTGAGGAAGCTTGGCGTGGTGGCCCACACCTGTGACCCTAGCACTTGAGGAGGTAGACGCAGGACTAGCTCAAGTTTGAGGCCAGCCTGGGCTACATAGTGAGGCCTTGTCTCAAATCTACTCCCCTAAAAAGAACAATTGTTATAAAGATTGAGTTACAGTATTACATAGGCCCTAAAGAAAATATATCGTATGAGTTAGTGTTTAATATATTTGCATTTGATACATTTGTAATTATTTTCAGAACATTCATAAGAGGGGTGATTTCTGTGGTAAAATTTCAAGATGAACACAGTCATTACTATGACATTAGTGAAATGAAAATTACGTGGACGGGGGATATAGTTCAGTGGCAGAGTGCTTCCCTTGCGTAACAAGATCCTGGGTTTGAGATCCATCCAGTGCTGTAAGAAAGTCACTTTAACTAGAGAATGTGACATGCTTTGGATGATGTGCCATCCTTCCTTATGTGTCTTCTACAGACAAAGACCTTTGTATTCAGTTGACTAAGTACTGCCCTGCCCAGCAAATTTAATTTCCTTCCTGTGATGCTTCTACCACAGTTCCTTTCGAAAAAAAAAAAAAAAATTCTATTTTTATGTGTAAGAGTTTTTTGCCTGCGTGCCCCCAGAATCTGGAGTTATGGAAAGTTGTTAGCTGCCATGGGGGTACTGGGAACCAAACCTGGGTCCTCTGCAAAGGCAGACGGTAGTCTTAATCACTGAGCCAGATCTCCAGCCCCTCCCTCCTTCCCTCTGTCCCTCCCTCCCTCCCTCCTTCCTTCCTTCTGACAGGGTCTCACTCTGTAGTGGAGGCTAGTCTCAGACTTGGGGCAGTCCTCTTGCCTCAGCCTCCTGAGTACTGAGATTACAAGCATGCACCCCCTACCCAGCTTCCTTTCCCTGCTTTCTACTTTAACTTTTCCCTCCTCTTGCTTTCTACTTTTCAGTTGTAGCTGTTCCTACCAGCGCCCCCCCCCGCCCCATTTCCCTTCAATTTTCCACTCAACTCACTCTCTTTAGCACAAATTCTTACTTAACCCAGCCACTATTATCTGGGCCTTACATATGTCTGGGATTGGTTTATTGGTTTCTGTTTTATCAGCAGTTAGGTTGAATGTCCAGACATGAATTGGAGAAATTTAATGTGAATTTTTCTGTTTCTATGTTTTCTGATTTTTTTTCCCCCTTTCTCTCAGTTTCGAGTATTTACAGCTCCCTTCCATAAGGTGGGCTTTGCCGATTTCTGGCTGGCGGATCAGCTGAACAGCCTGTCAGTGATACTAATGGACCTGGAATATATGATCTGCTTCTACAGTTTTGAGCTCAAATGGGAAGAAAATAGGGGCCTGTTGCCAAATAATTTAGGAGGTAGAGTATGAATTTGCATTCACATTACTGAATTGCCAGAGTAAACCAAGAAATATTGAGAATGCTAACTGAGATAGTTAAGGTGATGGTGAAAATTCATCCAATAACATTAGAAATTTAATTAGATGTGCTTGGCACTATGTTCGCAATTTCCTTATCTGAAATAATTTGGCTTTTAAATTGTGTTGTGATTTTAGCCATTCATTTGCCAAGAAATTTACAACTTACACTTAAAGAAGTCTAAGATTATTTTTTAGATGTTCCAGTATGTTAGTCGTCGTATCACAAATGCTATAGTGCCAGCAATTTGTCATCTCAGAATTGCTCCACATACAAGTGTAGATACCAGTGATCAAACGCACTGATGGTTCAGATCAGGTCAAGTGCTTTGAGAAAGTCCTGGTAGATTGCTTTTTAATTCTTTTTTTGTGACTGATTTTCGTCTGGATCTTTGGCCCACTCTTAGTTTATGACTGGAGTTCATGACGTTAGGACTTTTGCATTCATAACAGAGATCTAATGTGGATAGGTTGTCTAACATCCGATAAATAAAAGTTAATGATAAATTGGGCATGGTGACCTACCATACACCTATAATCCCAACATTGAGAAAGCTGAGGCAATAGGATAGGAAGCCCCAGGCTACATTTTGAAACCCTTGGACTATAAGACTGGTTCTCTCTCTCTCTCTCTCTCTCTCTCTCTCTCTCTCTCTCTCTCTTGAAACAGGGTCTTACCATGTAACCCTGCTGACTTGAAACTTACTATGTAGACCAGGCTAGTCTCAATCTCTACCTGCCTCTGCCGGGATTAAAGGCATCTACCACCATGCCCTGCTCTAATTTTCTTACAACTGTATCACACTTGAAAGAAAGTAAATTGTAGGACAGATATTTAGAAACATGGGAGGACAAAATTTCCCAGTAGTCCCCTCTGCAGTTTTTACCTTCTTTCCTTGGCTTATCAACCACTAAAAACCTTGAGAATATAATAGTTGTAAAGAAGAAAGCAACTCTGAAACTCATGTGTTTTGCTTTTATGGACTCACCGACAGTCATACTATGTGGATAAATAATGTGAACAAGTCATTCTTTTGAATTGTGATTTTTTTTTCTCTCTCTCTTTGAAATCTTCACAGAACCAGAAATTTGCCACAAATATACATACGGTGTGCGAGCCATTGTTCAGTGCATTCCTGCTTGGCTTCGCTTCATCCAGTGCCTGCGCCGGTACCGAGACACAAGAAGGGCCTTTCCTCATTTAGTAAATGCTGGCAAATACTCCACAACTTTCTTCACGGTGACCTTTGCAGCCCTTTACAGCACTCACAGAGGTACTCAATGATTGACTGCGAAGAGATTTTTTTTTTTTCAATCCTGGATTTTGATGGATTGAATCTATGTGTTGCCCTGGTTATTCTCATTTGTGATGCCCCTCTTTTCCAGGAAGTTCCAGCCCCTGAACCACATTAGCTTATCCTTGAACACAGTTTTAGTCTAATTCCAGTATTTATTAGCAAATATCATTGACCAGAATCACAATCAGATGTGAAGAATTGTGATTATGTTCAGTGGGTTCAGCCTTTAGATATCTTGGGTTTTCATTGAGTGGTTTTTTTTAAGATTTCCTTGTTCATTAATAAGATTGGAAGTAGGTGAGCTAGATTCCCTATGGCAATCAAGTATATTTTTAATCATTTTTCTTCTCCAACTAGTGAGGTTTGTTTCCAGCCCATTTAACTGCAAATTGAGTTCTCTGATCCCTCTAGTTTCTCGTCTCCATGGCAACCTGCTATTACTTGCTACTGCTCTTCTGTTGGAAAGAAAAGAAAGCTTTTAAGTTCTGAGCCACATGCAGTCACTCCTTTTGAATTTTTAACCTTTTTCCAAGAACTGTCAATCAATGGTTTTGCTTCCTTTTACTAAAACGCATTCCTTCTTTGTCTGCTTGATAGACAGTATCAGCCCACACCGTTAGACACAACACTTTCTCATCCGTGGTATCAAAGAAATGTTACTAATTGAAATTATTGTAGTGATTTTTAAATACCTGAGTAAAATTTTTTTCAGTATTTTTTTTGAGAGACTGTATTTAGGAGTATTATTCAGTAGTACAAAATTGCTATTTATCTAGCATGTGTCTGATGGTCATAAAAGATTGGGGCACTGTTTCAGTAACTATGAGGTTTATTCCAGTTGAACACATTATAGTGTATTTCTGCTTTTGGCCACAGATTCTGCGGTTGGAATAGTATTGATAAATGTGACCAATAATTGTACCACCATGTAGCAAGTCTTGTTAAATGATGTAAGTGAAGGAAACAAACCTCCCATACAGTTGATTCTTGCTGAGGAATGAGAGCTGGGATGGACCAGCAAGATGGCTTAGTAGGTAAAGGCACCTGTCACCAAGCCCAATGACCTAAGTTTGATCCCTGGGTCCCACAGGGTAGAAGGAGTAAACTGATTCCCACAAATTTTCCTCTGACCTACCCATGTGAATTTCTCATGTTCCTACCTCTGCTTCCCAAGAGCTGGGATTACAGGTGTGCATACACCACCATGCCCAGGTTATAGGAAATGATTTTACTTTAGATTAGAATATTTATATACATTCCTGTGTCACCACCTCATTTCTTAATTCTGTTCCAAATTAGATAAGTAGGTAGAGGTAGATAAGATAGAATAATCACATATCTAGAAAGAATTACTTTAAGACTATTCTATGTAATAGGGTATGCTAGGCACTTTAAAAGTGTAACAGCAGAGCACAATTTTCCCCTTTTTTTTTTTCTGGTCTTTTTGAGAGAGGGTCTCCCTGTAGCCCCAGCTGGCCTGGAACTCACTATGTAAGACCAGGCTGGCCTCGGACTCACAAAGATCTGCCTGCCTCTGCCTCCCAAGTGCTGGGATTAAAGGCATGTGCCACCACACCCGGCCTAATTTTCTTTTTTTAAATTAATTTTTAGATTACCGTACAAAGTAGGGGGTTTCATCATGATGATACAAACAAAACATACATATGAACAAAACACAATTTTTTCCCTCTGCTTTTGCAGAGGACTTGAGTTTAATTCCTAGCACCCACATTGGATGATTCACAGCCAACTGTAATTCCAGCTCCAGGAGATCCAGTGCCTTCTGGACCACACAGGAATTCACACTCATGTGCATATGCACGTGATTGAATTTTTTTTTTTAATCTAAAAAGGGGCTGGACAGGTGGCTCAGGTTAACAGCACTGGCTGCTCTTGCAGAGGTCCCAGGTTCAGTTCCCAGCACCCACATGGCTCCTAACAACCAGGTGACTCTAGTTTCAGGGGATCTGACGCCTCTGCAGGCATTGTATGCACATGGTACACTTATATACATGTAGGCAAAACACTTCTTCACATAAAGTAAAAATAAATTTTAAAAAATAAAAAATTGAAGCTGGGAGTGGTGGCGTACACCTTTAATCCCAGCACTCAGGAGTCAGAGGCAGGTGGATCTCTGTGAGTTCAAGGCCAGCCTGGTCTACATAGTGAGTTCCAGGACAGCTGGGGCTATAGGAGACCCTGTCTCAAAAAGACCAAAAAAAAAAAAATTAAAAAGTGAAAAAAGAATTTATAACTTGGTAGAAGAAATGGAGAAAAAGGCAATCACTGGTTTGACAATAATATGAATGTGTATAACTGGCGAGCCCTTTTACTACTTACAAAAAGGGAAAATGTTTTTGTTTTTTTTTTAACCACATTTTTTGAAAGGCTGTAAAATAGAGTACAAAGACTCAAGCAGGATAACAAAAAAGTCCCACAGCACAAGTCTCTGACCTAGACCAATTGGCCATAGATTGAGGACTGAGAGAAGACGTCTAGGAAGTGACATCTAAGGGGTGATATGTAGCCAAGCATAGACTTGAACTTAAGATCCTCCTGCCTCCACCACGCAAGTTCTGAGATAACAGGTATGCACTACCATGTTTGGCTTTTTTTTTTCTTTTTTCTTTTTTTTAATTTTTATTTATTCATTTATTTATTTGGTTTTTTAAGACAGAGTTTCCCTGTAGCCCCACATGGCCTGGAACCCACTATGGAGACCAGGCTGGCCTCTATCTCACAGAGATCGTCTGCTTCTGCCTGGAGAGTGCTAGGATTAAAGGCATGTGCCACCATACCCAACTGAAAAAGCATTTTTTAAAGGGACCATTTATTATGTATGTTAATCATATCCCTAAAGATTTTTTTCCAGACTTTATTTTTACATGTATGAATGTTTTGCCTACATGTATGTAAATACACCATGTGCATGCCTGGTGCCCATATAAGCCAGAATAAGGCTTCAGGTCCCCTGGAGAGTTAAGGACAGGTGTTAGCTGCCATGTGGGTGCTGGGAACTGAACTTGGGTCCTCTGCAAAAGCAGCCAGCGCTCAATCTCTCTAACCCTATATCCCTAAAGTTTTTCTTTAAATTTATAGCTACATATTGAATATATCACTAAAATTTTTTTCCCAAAAACCTAGAACCTGGAATGACAAAATTTTGACATGAGTGTTGATCAAGTTTGATTTCTATTACTTTTGCCTCCTCCTCCTCTTCCTCTTCTTTCTCTTCCTCTTTCCTTCCCTCCCTCCATACCTTCCTTCCTTCCCCTTTCTTCTTTCTTCTTGTATAAAATTCCCTATGTAGAGCCAAGGATAACCTGATCCTCCTACCTTCGTCTCCTGAGTGCTAGGATTGCAGACATGTACTATAATGCTTGGTTTTATGTGGTATTGGAGAATCAAATGTAGGACTTTGTGTATGACAGGCAAGCACTCTGCCAACTGAACTATATTTCCAGCCGTAATTTCTATTTTCTCATTTTCTTGGATAATATTCTAAGAAAGCACAGACCTTAAAAAGAACCCTTTTATTTAGTTTTGGGGGAGGAGGGAGGTTGTTTTTCAGTTTTGTTTTGTTTTCTTAGAAACTCTCTGTATCCCCAGCTGATCTGAGACTCAACACCAGGCTGGCCTCCATCTCACAGAGATCCGCCTGCCTCTGCCTTCCAAGTGCTGTGATTAAATGCATGGGCCACTATACCTGGCATTAGAAATAATCTTTGAGCCAAAAGAATAAATTCAAAATGACCAATTAGCTAGTTTTCTATTACACATTTGTGTGCTATTGCAAAGAATAAATTTTATATAGAAGACTGACTAAAAGATAATGAAATAACTTTGTTCATACTCAGAAATCTGAGTCTTCAAAGAACTAACCTGCTACGGTTACCATAGTAATAACATTACATTAAGGGCATTTTCAAAATTGTTTAAAAGGTTGTTTCTTATATTAGATTGTGTAATTTGTAAAAATAGAGGAATGAATTAACTCTGCACCTAGAATCATTTTTAGAAGGTGAGAGTTTAGACAACCCATTGTGGAACATTAATTGTGATATTATTTCAATTAACTCTCATTTGTTGTATTAAAAAGGAAGCAGTTGAGTGTATTTTATTTATCTATCATTGATTTTTAGAAACAAAGGAATTTAGCTAACAGCCAGTCTCTATGTTTAAGAATTCATATTTCATTACATGACTGATTTTGAAGCCAACTCTAATTTTTAGAGTTGGAGGAGGCAGGAAAGTATTTTAAATGGTTTTTGGTCTCCTTGAAGTTCCTTGGCTTTGGCAAGGAAAGATCTATGGGAGGTACAGAGCAGAGAAGGCTGTGACGTTATGGTTTCTAAGAAGTTGTTGAGAGAGAGTACTTCATCAGGTTTTCTGTACTTCATTTTGTTTCTAACATTCTAAAATATTCATAAGTCCTTAGTGTACTTAAAACTTCCCTATTCTCCTAGATATATGCAGAGAGCCTTCTTTTTACTGCCTATTTCCTTAGACTCTTGTTGGGGTAAGTGGCATTTGCTATTGATTTTTAAATTTAGAAGAAGAGATTACCTTGGCACACTCAAGAGTTCATTTGTGTCCCCATTGCCAGTGCCCAGGTCTCGTCTGGACCCCTCTTGTACATCCCAAAGGAGTGCTGTGCTTCCTGATACTGTCTCTTCAATGGTGGTCAGTGCCTTCTGCGCAGTCAGTCCTAAAGGGCATCTTCTCTGAGGATGACCAGTTGTTACCTTCTTGCAGCCCTGAATAGTAGGCTGCTCATTCAACTTTTGTCTTCTTATGTTATAGTAGAAATAGTAATTGTGGTTTTTAATTCTCTAGGGAAATTTTTTTCCATTAACTTTAAAAGACATGTTCAATTAAAAAAACTTCAGTGGCACACGCCTGTAGTCCCACCACTTGGGAGGAAGAGGCAGGTGGATCTCTGTGAGTTCAAGGCCTGCCTGGTCTACACAGTGAGT